AAAAAAAAAAAAAAAAAAAAAAATTAGCTGGCTGCGGCTGCTCTCCCAAGATGGCAGCTCCTCCAGTGGAAAGCCCAATCACGCAGACATCCTGCTTATAAACTTAGAGTATGTTTCAGAAGTGGAAATAATTAATGACCGAACAGAAACCCCTCCTCCCCTAGCTTCACTCAATGTTAGTAAGCTTGCCAGCAAAGCACGGACGGAGAAAGAGGAGAAGCTGAGCCAGGCCTATGCAATCAGTGCTGGTGTCTCTCTAGAGGGCCAGCACTCTTCCAGACCATTCACAAGACCATTAAAGACTGTAAATGGCAAGAAAAAAACATTGTAGTCATGGAAGAAGTTGTTATTACACCCCCATATCAAGTGGAAAATTGTAAAGGCAAAGAGGGGAGTGCACTGAGCCATGTACGCAAAATAGTTGAAAAACATTTTAGAGATGTGGAAAGCCAAAAGATACTGCAACGTTCACAAGCCCAGCAACCACAGAAGGAGGCTACCCTGTCATCCTGAGTCCATATACATGGAGGACCCTTCCAGCCTCCAGCCGAGGCGGCGGTGGTGGTAGCTTCAGCGAGGCAGGCCAGGGTAGGGAAGGGATCCTTTATGTCCTGTTGGCTCTTGTTAACAAAGGGTCAGCATTTCCAAATCTTAGACTTGAACAAACAAAACACCCAACAAAAAAGAACGAGAGAGTAATTTAAAAGTTGAATCATTACTTGACTAACAGACTTTAGTCCATGTCCTTTTCACAGTCCCCCTTCTGGAGCAGTCACCTTGTTAATTTTATTTTTGAAAATTTCTTTCCCACTCTGCCCTTTTACTTCTGACTTTCCTTTCCTAGTCTGTTCCTGCCATTCTGTTTTTATAAGTGGCAACACTTGCCTTCTGAGTGATTGAAAGAAACTTTTACATCTTTTCTTCTAAAATAAAAGTAACAAGCTGACTGTGATTCCTAAGTTGAGACCAGAGCAGCAGACAGAGGTCTCACTTTAATTTTTTTCTTTTCTTTTTCTTTTCATTTTTTTCTCTTTCTTTCTTTCTTTCTTTCTTTCTTTCTTTCTTTCTTTCTTTTTTTTTTTTTGCACAGGGCAAAAAAAAGTTTTATTTTTTCTTAAAGTTTTCTTTATTTTTTCTTAAGTTTTATTTTTCTTAACTTTAAATATATATATAAAAATAGATATTAAAATGTTCTCTAAATATTAAAAAAAAAAAATTAGCCAGGCATTATGGTGGGTGCTTGTAGTCTCAGCTACAGGAGGCTGAGGGAGCCTAGGAGTTTGAGGTTGCTGTGAGCTATGATGATGCCACGGCACTCTACCCATGGCAATAGAGTGAGACTCTGTCTCAAAAAAGCAAAATAAAACAAAAAAAGAAACCCCACAACATACAAAATGCATAGGAGGTAACCTGATGGAGCAGATGGAAGGAAAGCAGATGTCTACAGCACCAGCAGGGCATGGGGAAGGACACTCCATGGAGCACTCTATCTGCTCACAGCAGCCCAGAAGGGAAGCAGTTGATCTGACCAATTTACAGAGAAGAAACTGAAGCCAGCAGCTGGTCAGGCCTTGGAGCTGCTGCCAAGACCACCACTGAGTATCCGCTATTTCTTTTTTTTGAGACGGAGCCTCAAGCCATCACAGCTCACAGCAACCTCCAACGCCTGGGCTCAAGCAAGTCTCCTGCCTCAGCCTCCCAAGTAGCTAGGACAACAGGTGCCCACCACAACGCCTGGCTATTTTTTTTGGTTGCAGTCGTCATTGTTGTTTTGGCGGGCCCGAGTTGGATTCAAACCCACCACCTTAGGTGTATGTGGCTGGCGCCTTAGCCAGTTGGCCACAGGCGCCAAGCCAGGTATCCACTATTTCTCAGAGCCCATGGAACCAGAACCCACAGCCTTGCTGTATGACCCACAACAGGCAAGGGTCCCCAGAGTCAAGCCTCCAAAAAGTGATAAGATTGAACCCCACAGCAAAGTTCAGTCATAGTAACTTGGGAACACTTTGGAATCTGTTCCTTTGACGAGAAGGACAGTGGGCCTGGAAGCACTTGATGCAGGTCACCCCCTTGCCTGGACAGCATAAGAGTTGCAGACATTGACCCCTGGAATTCAGAAATTGGGATATACTGGTACAGCGTCACGGTCTGCTTGCCTGAGACCCTCCTCCCTCTTCCCCAGGCCCCACGGGGGTCTCTCATGACTTTTTATGGTCCTTATGTGACTGAAATCCTACAGTGAGTAGTCAGGTACACAGGTGGTAGAGGAACTAAGCTTTACACGCATGGCCAAGTAGGGGTGACTCATCATTTGGGGGTCTGTCCCCTTATGGGTTTTTCTCTTAGGACACAGAACTTCATGGGACAGCTGAGACAGCACTTCACCTTCAATGAGGATAGTCTCAGTCATCAGGAAGGTTTTCACTTTGTCCTTAGCAGGCTCTGTGGCCGCTGAACCCATCAAGCTCACCTAGGACCAAGCAGGGCCAACACTGTGTGTGTCTCAGCCCTGGCCCGGAGGGTATAAGGAAGACACTTTTGTGGGGCACAGTCTCCAGTGGATTGGACCCTCCCCCTTGCCCTCTGACAACCCCAACCATGTGTTCTATTGCAGAGAGACCACAGACAAGTGCTCAGCTCCCTCCTGTCTGGAGCCCTGGCTGGTGCTCTTGCCAAAACAGCAGTAGCTCCCCTGGACCGAACCAAAATCATCTTCCAAGGTAAATATTGTCTGTTTATTCCCTCATGTGATAGAGAAGCTACCAGGTAGTCATGCCCTCCCATGGCCCCACACACTGTGCTTCAGATTGATTTTAAAAATGCTTCTTGGCTCGGCGCCTGTAGCTCAACTGGCTAAGGCGCCAGCCATGTACACCTAAGGTGGCGGGTTCGAATCCAGCCCGGACCCGCTAAACAACGATGGCTGCAACCAAAAAATAGCTGGGCGTTGTGGCGGGCGCCTGTGGTCCCAGCTACTTGGGAGGCAGAGGCAGGAGACTCGCTTGAGCCCAGGAGTTGGAGGTTGCTGTGAGCTGTAATGCCATGGCACTCTACCCAGGGCAACAGCTTGAGGCTCTGTCTCCAAAAAAAAAAAAAAAAAAAGTGCTTCTTTAGGCCCAGGGCCTGTGGCTCAAGTGGCTAAGGCGCTGCCATATACACCTGAGCTGGCAGGTTCAAATCCAGCTCAGCCAAACAACAATGACGGCTGCAACCGAAACATAGCCAGGCATTTTGGTGGGCGCCTATAATCTCAGCCACTACGGAGGTAGAGGCAGGAGAATCACTTGAGCCCAGGAGTTGGAGGTTGCTGTGAGCTGTGATGCCACAGCACTCTACTCAGGGTGACAGCTTGAGGCTCTATCTCAAAAAAAAATAAATAAATAAAATAAAAATAAATAAATAAAAACACTTCTTTAAATTCCATTTAGACACTATCTGAGTTTCCTAAGGCTGCCATCACAAAGGACATCAAAACAGGTGGCATAGAACAGCAGGAATTTACTTTCTTACAGTCCTGGGGGCCAGAAGTCTAAAATCAAGGTGTCGGCAGAGCCACTCTCTCTTGTCTCTACCAGCTTCTGGAGGTTCTAGCTGTTCCTTGGCTTGTGGCTGTATCACTCCTACCTCCACCCTTGTCCTTACATGGCCTTCTCACTGTGTGTCTAATTGTTTGTTTTCTCTTCTTACAAAGCCACCAGTCATCAGATTTAGGGCCAACCCTAACCTGGTACAACCTCACCTTAACTGAATTACATCTGCTAAAACCCTGTTTCTAAATAAGTCACCTTCATAGGGATTAATGGTTATGATGGAGAGACATCTTTTCAGAGGATATAATTCAACTCATAACATCTATCTGTCTCCCTTCTTGGGTTAAACAGTCACAGAAAGGATAAAGATGAAGCCTTTCCCTCCCTCAAACAGTTGCCAGTTTGTGCCCAGGACCCAGCAGCAGGATGGTCACAGCCCAGGCCCCTCTGCCCTTCATCTGTTTGGAAAGAGACTGCAGGCTTGAGCTGAGTCTTGAGCCAGTCGCCTAGCCTTTTTCTGCCCCAGTTTTCTCTTTCAGAAAATGCAGGCATTGATAATCCTCTCTGGGCTGCCGAGAGGATGCGGTAAGCTAACAGGGGTTTGAAAGGAGCAGGCCTGTGGTTAAGGGAGCTGGGGACTGGGGTTTAATCCTGAAGACAGCAGGCACACCTCACACAGAGACTGTGGGGGAGGCTGCCAGCCCACACCAGAGGCTCTTGGTGACTGCTGCAGTCCTGTATTTCTGGATCCCACCATCAGGATCTCTGGTGGCCAAAGGGACTACAGTACAAGAGTGAGCTAGGCAGCCACAGGGTGAGAGAGGGGTAAGAAGTGTACCCTTAGTGGCAGCTCTCACTCCATTGTCCAGGCCAGACCCTGTATGAGGGGGAGGGGTCATGTGCACTAGAAGTTCTGTTCTTTGCAGATGCTCTCACCATCTCTCTTGTGCTTTTGTTTTTTTCCAGTGTCTTCAAAAAGATTTTCTGCCAAGGTGAGCTACTAGATCACTGTCCACTGCCCCACTCATGGAGCTGGTGGTCCTAGGAGACATCTGGGGGTGGGGACAGGACCACCTGTCCTCCTACCCCTAGCTCTACCTGAACAATGCTCACCATGAGAATTCACTGGAGATTCCATGATAGGGGTACTGGAGGGCTCTAAACCATATTTTCATGTTTGATTTCTTGTTAAAAACAAAGCAGATAGGCTCGGCGCCTATAGCTCAACCAGCTAAGGCTCCAGCCACGTACACCTAAGGTGGCGGGTTCGAATCCCCAGCCCGGACCCGCCAAACAACAATGACGGCTGCAACCAAAAAATAGCCGGGCGTTGTGGCGGGCGCCTGTGGTCCCAGCTGCTTGGGAGGCGGAGGCAGGAGACTCGCTTGAGCCCAGGAGTTGGAGATTGCTATGAGCTGTAATGCCATGGCACTCTACCTAGGGGGACAGCTTGAGGCTCTGTCTCAAAAAAAAAAAAAAAAAAAAAACAAAAAAAAACAAAGCAGATAGTACCTTTATAGTAAAGAAAAAAGGCAGCGCCTGTAGCTCTGTCAGTAGGGCGCGGGCCACATACAGTAAGGCTGGCCAGTTCAAATCCAGCCAGGGTCAGCTAAAAAAACAATGACAACCACAACAACAAAACAAAAAAGATAAAGATAAAGTGCTTCTACAAAAGCCAGGCTACTGGGCGGCGCCTGTAGCTCAGTGGGTAGGGCGCCTACCCCATATACCGAGGGTGGCGAGGGTGGCGGGTTCAAACTGGGCCCCAGCCAAACTGCAACAACAAATAAAAATAACTGGGCCTTGTGGCAGGCAACTGTAGTCTCAGCTACTCGGGAGGCTGAAGTAAAAGAACTGCCTAAGCCCAGGAGTTGGAGATTGCTGTGAGCTGTGTGATGGCACTCTACCAAAGGCGATAAAGTGACACTCTATCTCTGCAAAAAAAAAAAAAAAAAAAATTAAAAAAAAGCCAGGCTACCAAACACCAACAAAGATACTCTGGGCGTAGGGTTCTAAGATTGCTTTGCAAACCTGGTTCACTTTACAATCCCAGGGTTGGAGGACTGGGGAGGGGTCGATAATGTCGCAGGCTGCACAAACAGACGTGGCACTAATGGGACATGGGTGGGGGGGGTGAGGCGAGGGACATGGTGGCTGCTGCGTTTCAGGGGCGTTTTGCAGGCCAACCTGGCTTGCCGGGAGGGCAGGTGGAGGCAGAGGGATGTTGACCTCTGCCTTTCTCCTAGGAGGCCTTCCGGGTGCTCTACTACACCTACCTCAACGAGGGCTTCCTCAGCCTGTGGCGCGGGAACTCCGCCACCATGGTGCGTGTGGTGCCCTATGCCGCCATCCAGTTCAGCGCGCACGAGGAGTACAAGCGCATCCTGGGGCGCTACTACGGCTTCCGCGGAGAGTGAGGCCCCACCCCGCCCCTGGCCTTTCCTTCCTTCTCCCCCACGACCCACTCCTGTCTCCTCCCTTCTCGCATGCCCCACCCCTCCCCTAACCTTCTTCCCACCCCACCCCCGCCTCTCCCTTTTCACACGACATGCCCCTCCCTCGCTAAGCACACCACACCCCTTATTCCTATGCCCCACCTCCTTCTATGCATCTCTGCCACCTTCTCCCTCAAGCCCTGCCCTTTACCTCTCCTCCACAAACCTTTCCCCTCTCCCTACCTTCCCTCTTCCCCCCCAACAAAATACCAGGCAGTTCATCACTGAGACCCTCCCAAGTGTGCCCCCACCTTAACTGTCGCACACTCTATTCTATCGTCATAGCTCCTCTCCATTCACCCATTTGTTTCCTTACAGCTCCCTGTAAGTCCTAGAGGGGCAGGCCACATACAAACGGGAAAGGGAAGGCACCAGCTCTAAATTTCAAATGACTCCCACTCAGGAGACCCTATCAGCTGGGGCATTGAAAGCCAGCCCAACCTGGTATTCCTTGGTTGTCTCCACCCCTAGCTGCACATGGGGGTGCTCTAGGCTGGGCCTGTGTTCATCTGCAGCCCCCTCACTGGGTCTCAATTTCCCCCCAACTGGTTCAGAGCCCTGCCCCCTTGGCCTCGCCTCCTCGCTGGTGCACTAGCTGGAACCACCGCTGCTTCACTGACCTACCCCCTGGACTTGGTCAGAGCGAGAATGGCCGTGACCCCAAAGGAAATGTGAGTCCTACCTTGGTGATGCTGTCACCAGCACCAGGGGCTTTTGTGTGGCAGTGGTTCCCAGGTCAGATCCCCTCTATCAGGCCCCTGGGGTTTGGGTCTGACCACTGCCCAGCTGTGTTGAGAATCCACCATGCTGACCCTGCCTGGTACAACAGAACAAGCCTTCTGTGATATTCTGCACTTGCTCCAGAAAGACAGTAATTTGTTCTCTTATCCTGGAGGTCAGTTTCTGCTTGGATCAAACCAAGAATCTTCATTTCAAACTAGACATAAATACATTAAAGTATGTTAAGAATAAAAGAGAAGGACTAAACCCACTAGAGTTTTCCCCTTGGTGAAGGTGAATTTTGGGCTTGGGCATGCCTTTGCCCCCTAATTCCAAGGCTTTTGCAACATGGTTATATTAATATTTCTTAAAGAAGGAAAGCATCAACATGCAGATAAACCCAGGCCCAGCAGGCTGGGGGAAGAGCCAAGAGTCTCAGTGGGTCCTCCCTGAACTGGAAAGGCCTGTGACCCACTTGCTCTGCTGCTCTGTCCTGGCAGGTACAGCAACATCTTTCATGTCTTTATCCGCATCTCCCGAGAAGAGGGACTGAAGACCCTCTATCATGGATTCACGCCTACTGTGCTGGGAGTCATTCCCTATGCTGGGCTGAGCTTCTTTACCTATGAGACACTGAAGAGTCTGCACAGAGGTAAGGAGAGCTGGGAGCAGGGGGAGGGTAGTCCCAGCTACTCAGGAAGCTGAAGTAGGATGATCCCTTGAACCCAGGAGTACATCCTACCCCTCAACCTACACAGAACCTGGTGAAGGGAGGGTCACCCAAATCATGGGGAAGATGTTCAGACCTCTCAGAACTAAAAAATAAAGTGCCTGGGCATGGTGGTTCACATCTATAAACCCAGGCCAAGGCTGAAGGATCTCTTGAGACCAGCATGAGTAACATATCAAGGCATTCAGGGAAGACTCCCTGGGGACAGCAACTCTGCCAGGATCACATAGACCTGGAGGCAGAACAGAGGCAAAGGGACTACAACCCTGGATGGGGCAGGCTGGGAGCCCAGCGTCCAAATTAGAACACAGGATATGTGCTCCTCTAAGAAACCAGGATTACAACTTTAAATGTCTATTTAAGAACAACTTTGTGGTGGTGCCCGTAGCTCAATGAGTAGGGCGCTGGCCATATACACCGAGGCTGGCGGGTTTGAGCCCCGCCTGCACCTGCTGAAAAACAATGACAAGTGCAACCAAAAAATAGCTGGGCGTTGTGGCAGGCACCTGTAGTCCCAGCTACCTTAGCCCAAGAATCACTTAGCCTAAGAGTTTGAGGTTGCTGTGAGCTGTGACGCCATGGCAGCTCTACTGAGGGTAACATAGACTCTGCCTCAAAAAAAAAAAAGAGCAACTTTGTGAAGTCCAGTAGTTACCCAACATTGATGGCCACCTCACATTTTCACAGTCACACACACAAAGCATATGGGTGAAACCAACCAAGAATGGGAGGGGAAATGCCCTCTTTTGGTACGTGTGAGAGATTGAAAAGTACACAAAAGCACAGAGAATAGTATAACTGCCATCCAGCGTGAACAGGTTTTAACATTTTGCCTTTGCTCTTACATGTTTTTTGCACTTGATCTTAGCCAAAAGGCTGAGAAGCGATTAAGAATTAAAGTGTTGTGGGTAAAGTTGAGGCCTAGAATCTCTCTCTCAAGTTCTCTCTCCTTTTTTTTTGAGACAGAGTCTCAAACTATCTCCCTGGCTAGAGTGCTGTGGCGTCATAGCTCATAGCAACCTCCAACTTGGGCTCAAGTGATCCTCTTGCCTCAGTTTTTCTACTTTTCATAGAGACAGGGTCTTGCATTTGCTCAGGCTGGTTTTGAACTCATGAGCTCAAGCAATCCACTCACCTCAGCCTCCCAGAATGCTAAGATTATAGGTGTGAGCCACCATGCCCAGCCTTTTTTTTCCCCCACAAAGTCTACTTCTGTTGCCCCGGATAGAGTACTGTGGCATCATAGCTCACAACAATCTCAAACTCTGGCTTGGTGCCTGTAGCTCACTGGTTAAGTCATTGGCCAAATACACCAAGGCTGGCAGGTTCAAACCTGGCCCAGACCAGCTAAACAACAATGACAACTGCAAGAAAAAAATAGCCAGGCATTATGGCAGGCGCCTGTAGTCCCAGCTACTTGGGAGGCTGAGGCAAGAGAATAGCTTGAGCCCAAGAGTTTGAGGTTGCTGTGAGCTGTGACATCATAGC